AGAAAATAACAACTTCTGGTTTAAATCATCACCGCTTTGTATGTTTTAAGCTAAAATAGCCGTTAACTTGCTCATAGGTTTTGTATGTAAAAGATAAAAACAGGGGGTTCCTTTAGCTTGGAATCAACCAGCAAAAAAAAAAAAAAAAAAAAAAAAAGCAATCCCCAAGAAAAACTCATTTCCTGTGGCGCGGCTGGTAATTCCCACCAGGGTTGTGACTAGTGATGGCGAATCTTTTCTCTATTGTTTCACAAGTGTTATAAAGTAATTGAATAACAACAGTTCCAGTCCTTGTTACCAGAGTGTGCTCTTGCTGTCAGATATATGTGCGGATTTATTAGAGAGAAGTGAACAGCTCTGTGGAAACATTGAATACCAGGACTTCCTGTCTGTGAGAATATTAAATTCATTGTTCTTCTCTTTTCAAAATGCGACTTCCTTTGACATGGAGAGATTAGGACTCGTAACGATCAGTAACTGATGACTTTATTAACGTCTCAGCAGCCACGCTGGCTACACTCTGCCTGAATAATAACGCGCGCAATAATAATACTAAGGTAAATATATCTCTGTAACAGGCCGTGAAGACCCATTGGGTGAGACGTCGAGGCTCCCACATTTCTTAGACAGTCGGCCCAGAGATGGAGATAAGATTGGTTGTCAGCCTTACGCGCCGGTCGCCCTTCACCCCCAGGAAGATTCCTGGTAGTCATTTCTGTTAGAGACTGAGTCGACTCCAGGCTCATAGTGAGGCTGGAAGGATTAGGTAAATTGGAAAATCCAAATGACCTTATCGGGAATCGAAACAGAGACCTTCAGGTTTGTAGCATAGTGCATAAACAAACTACGCCACCACGTGCTCCTAATAATTAAATTCAAATCTGTATGTGTATTCCTCTATCGTTGCTAGGCAACGGATTTGTAAAATCGTTACCGCGGCAACGACCACACTCGCAATACTGGAACAACTATTTGACGCATCATTTTGTATGCAGTGCGCGTTGTATCAATGAAACCTATGTGATTAGTTATTCTCAGAACTTCTTGTGTTTTATACATTACCTACATATTCCGAATGGAGTACTGTACAGTACAAGTGAGCACGCGTCCTAATGTCGAAATCTGGATCCATTGCAACGGAGTCTGAGGAATAAATTAAAGATTATCCTAATGATCCAGTGGCCTCAAATAATTAAGTCTCACTTAATTACCTACTCATGGAGCTGAGCCCTTCTGGAGGAGCCGCCAATTCCTGCAGCTACTCGAGAATTTCCCAGCATTTTATGGAACCCGAAGGTTCATCACCGTGTTCACAAGAGCCCTCCACTAGTCCCTATCCTGAGCCAGATCTATCCAATCCATACCATCCCATCCTGTCTCTCTAAGATCCATTCTAATATTGTAAATAATTAAGTCTTCCTTCCCAAATTCATCATCATCATCATCATCATCAACAACAATAACAACAACAACAGAAGACCAAAACTTCACTAATTTGGGTACGTACGTACAATTTACAATTAAATGTAACGTGTCTTTATTTAATACACCGAAACGTCATCCCGTTCATCATATTACTAATGTTTTCATTATTTATCACGTTTTTATTTGATATACGATATAGGATTGTATGTAAGGCCTGTCATTTATCTGCCTATGTTAAAATATCTATGTATCTACTTGTTGGTGCAGCATTTTACCAGGACGCATTTACGTATCCCCACTTAACCCATAAAGCTTTGCTTTGTAGGGCACGAGTGTACATAACGCGTCATCCTGGAGGAAACTGACCCTCACCTTGGACCACGGTTTACTTCGAACGGCACCATCTATGAAGAATGCTGTCTTCTGGGATGTGGCACCGTGTAGATCTTGTGTGAACCGATATTTCGGAGGAACCTATCGTCTTCATCTTAGGGTAAAAAATCCGCGAGCGTTAGCAGGTGGCTGTAGATTGACTACCTTGAAGATGGAAGTGATACGTTCCTCCGAAACGTCGGTTCACACAATATCTACACGACGCCACATCACAGAATACGATATTCTTCATAGTCACCGCCGTGAAAACCTCAGCACTTACACAGCATCATCTAAATTTCTGTCTGTTCTGTATTCTGGAAGTACAGCGTATTCATAAAATATTTCACTATTCCCAGACTCTACGGGAGGCGAACCACTGACGATGAAGTAATTCGGTTTTCTACCCATGATTAATATAACATCCAATGCATTCACTAGGCCAGGGTGGTATCCAGGATTCGATGTTAGTGTTGTTACCATTAGTGCGGGACGTTAGTGGAACTTACCGTATGAGTCGGAACTTAAGGCGACGAATATTTAAGGTATATAACTCCGTGGCCTATAGTCCACAAACGAACTATACCGACCGAGCGACCGCCGCTTGTCGGCGAAGTTAGTGCCAACTTTAGNTATTTATGAAATACATAAATTATATTTAAGGTATATAACTCCGTGGCCTATAGTCCACAAACAAACTATACCGACCGAGCGACCGCCGCTTGTCGGGGAAGTTAGTGCCAACTTTAGCGAATAGAGGGTGCTGCGTGGTCAGCGAAACGAATCCCCACGGCCGTTAGTTTCAGTTCTCTATACCGGAGCCGCTATTTCCTCGAAATAGCTCCTCACTTATCCTCACGAGGCTGAGTGCACCCCGTTCCAAACCCTCTATTCATTTAATGTAGTAAAGACTTAATTTAATACCTTGTAATAGTATTGTTTCTACTTATTTTTGGTCACAATCCTCAGAACTAATTGACATATTCAATTTTGTCCACAAAAATGTTTCTTTGCTGATTGGCCAATTTGAAAATATTGGGAGCCTTATATTCGAACTCGTGCGGTATATACACAGAATTAGCTTGGACCACACACGCGAGAGATTAGAGCCTACAAAGGCACACGCGTACAACAATTTAACCTAAAAGCCTGAAGGAAAAAAGAAACTTGAAATCTTAGGCGCAGATGGGAACATAATCTTGAGATAGATCTTGAAGATACTGTGTGAAGATAGGTTCATGATTTGGAATCATGTGGATCACAATAGCGTCCAATGGCACGATTTTGTGAAAACGGTAATGTACAGTCGGTTTCCATAAAAGGCGAGGTATTTCTTCAATATCTGAGCGACTATCAGTTTCTCAGAAAAGTCTCTCTTCTATGGAATGAACTTGTTAATGAGGAAAATGAAATTTATTGTAACACAAGGATCACATAGTAATTTCTGCTATATTTTCACTAACTTTTTAAGAATTATCTTACGTTATAACTAACATTAGGGGCACGCGGTAACGTAGTTAGTTGAGGCACTATGCTACAAGCCGGAATGTCTCGGATCGAATCCCGATAAGGTGGATTTTTTCAATTGACCTAATCCTTCTAGCCGCACTATGGCCCTAGGATCGACTCAGCCTCTAACAGAAATAAGTACCAGGAATATTCCTGGGGTTAAACGGTGACCGGCGCGTGAGGCTGACAACCTCGCCGCCATCTGTGAGCCGATTGTCTAGAAAATGTGGAAGCCTCTAAATCTCACAACCGTATGGGCCTCCACGGCCTCTTATAGGGATACCTTTACCTTTTTTATCACTAATATTTGCCTATGTAATTGTTAGTTGGATGCATTTGACAAAGATGGGAGACCTGTTGAAAATTAAGTTGTTAGGTTATAATTTGTCGCGGTTGCAAATTTAACACGAAGCCTAAGGGGAAGCACTTATAACACAATTAGAATCATGGATTTAAAACAATTTATTTATAATACATAAGCGTGTGCCTTCGATTTCGACAGAACATTTCGTTAACATCTCGATTTGACGAAATTTTATGTTCAAAGCAGATTGAAATTAAGATAAATATATACAGGCCAATTCTATAAAATTATTACGTAGCCCGTACTGGGCATGCGTCAGTTGGCAGTACGATAACATTCAGACACATCTGTAGCATATTTTAGCAGGAGACTACGATAACAGTCTACTGGACCTCTCATTAGATGAAAGAGCAATCATACCTTTCGTTTTCGCCTTGACGTCTCTTTCCTATCTGAACTCATAAATGCCTCTCATTCATCGAAATGGAAAACTTCGAAGGACCCTTTTTTTTTTTAATAAAATGACCATAGGTCTGTACATAAGCTCTCATGAACGTTTCGCTGTTAAAGTAAATGAAAATCAACACATCGTTAAATCAATGAACGCAAAATGGTTTCTACAGCCAACTGTCGGCAGCCTGGCATCCTACCACGTTGCCAAGAGACGGCCGAATGACTGCAGGTCGCAAAACCGGGTGCCCGCCGTCTGCCTCATCTCGTCTACTGACCGTGCGCCGTGCCTTACGTTTGGGGGATAGGTGGGGGAACTCCCGTCCAATTCACTCTTCCCCCCCGCAACATTCCATCCGCTCCAAATAACTAGAACGTTTTATCACCGCACCATATCACATGAAAGGTAGGGGAAAAGGGAGGAAGTCTGCGAGCAGAGGGCGTGGCATACATCGGAGCTACAATCCTATCAGAAACCCCGGTGTAATCTCCCCAAAACCTCGACCACCAATCCTGGAGAAACCCGCGCTCAGCTTTGCGAGATCGATCATATTGGTGGGGAAGAAAAATTCGCGAATTTTCCACGCTATAAAATATTATAATAACAAAAATAATTTATTTCATTAATAAAAATCATGCATATATCTACTGCAAGAAAACTATCTTGTTTTATAAACGAGGTCATTGAATACTTCCAAAATTTCATTATGCAACATCTAGGTACCAACAATAATTAATTCACAAAACTTCAGTCAAGATTAATGAATATATGAACTGCGTAATTAACCTAAATAAAATTCGCAATTTAACGTAACCCTATATGTTTGGGGTGGCAATGATGTGGTGGAGAAGTATGGGCTGGTCTCTGGACCAGACAGACAACCACTGCGAGAGTTGGATTTCCACGTCTTTCCCCTCTGACTCACCCCTCCTCCTGCTGCCACACTGTCTATGTCATGTAACTCAAGTGACAATCTGTTGACGTACTTTGCAGTGGGAGGCACCTCATCCACTGCTCCAGGAGCGGGTATCAGACTGTACGAGATTATGCTAAACTTCACACAAGAAGAAGAAACTCATAGAGACCAAGATCCCGTGGTATCATTTATGGAGATGAACCGTAAGGTCAAGTCTGTGAGGGGGGTTAGCAATGATTGGCATAACCAGGATGAAGACGATGTGTGCTTGGGTGGTGCAGAAGCCAGTAGTGACTCCACGAACGATTGAGAGAACGGTGGTTTAACGACAGAAACCGAAATCTTCAAGAACTATAAACGTCATCATCATAATCATCAACGTTACCAACACCGAGCTGTAGCTTTTATTACTACGCGGGTGACATCAAAGAGGGGAGGTGTGAAAGGTGCGCCAAAATCTTCAAAAATATTTTCCTGCTGTACGAAACATTCTACTCGCTGGGACGCCTCATGAAGCAGAATTAAAAACCAGGAAATTTCTAGAACGGAGATGTCAGCTATTCCGTTTGTATAGGATGGATATTGAAGGAACATATTTTCGTAAAATTGTCTTTTTATTGTGGAATGGAGCAATATAAAAATAGAGAAGTAAATTCGCGACTTCGGACGAATTAGACAAACGTGTGCTGTGCGGCTGTTAACATTGTGTACGTGGCAGTTGTCATCTGACATGTCATCAGGAAAAAACAGACTGACGCATTTCTCGTTCTTCAATTGTCACTATTGTCTGCCGCGCGTGTGGTTGTGGTCGTTGATGTCTCGTCCCTTAGCGAGATACCAATGGGACTAATTATCAGATAATATTTGTTAATATAATATAAACACGGAGCTAAGTGCAGATAATGTGATACACCAAGCAGTGAGGAAATAACTTCTTGTTAACGGTCTGGACTTCAGTTGAAACTATGGAAGTATCACTTCCCGCTCCAATGCCTCTAGACTTCAGTATCACCGTTAGGTCCCGGCAGGACCCAACGTCTTCGAGTTCGCCGGCCACCGGCCTCGTGCTGCCCGCTAACGTCGCCTCGTCTAGCGCCGGACTTCTCAAGCTACTCAAGGAGAGTGGAGCCCCACGGCCGGGAGGGGCGGCGGCTTCCGGGGAGTCAAGCAGCGCATTCAGGGTTGTCACCCCCAAAGGGAAAGTTGAAGGTAGGCCGACACAATTTCACAAAATAACATTATTATGTTCACTAAAATAAGCCGTTATGTAATCTTCAAAAAGAATGACGAACAATGAATGATTGACGTATTCTTAGCGTATTTAATGACGCTATATCATCTACAAGTATTGTGCAGGTTATAAGGACATGTGAATATACTGATGAAGCCTAAACCGAGAGAGTAAAACGGTCATAATTTTTTCGAAGGCAACTTACTGCTCCGATAGATACGACTGGGACAAGATTCCAAATACGGTTCGATGAAAATCCAAAGCGTTACCGCTGAAGTAACCTTTCCCGCCACCAAAACGTAGCGATGGGTCTATTTAGCACTATTTACAAAGTGACTGACCAGTTATTAAAAGAAATTTTATCTATGATTAAGGAAATCAAGATACTCAATGCAAACATGGTAATAATCTCCCTCATTAGGCCTGTAGATGTAATAATTTGTATAGGGCATGAAGGAGATTTATTTCCGGATTTCCATCATTGAGTTTTGTCGCACTGACAAAGAAATAAAAAATGTGAAGAATTCTTAAAGTATTTATCAAAATATGTAAGTTCATTTTGTCCCCCCCCCCCTCAACTTCAACAGCCACGCAGAACGTTGTAGGCCTATAGGCTGAAGGCTGCAAATATACAGACTACACACGCCACACACAACATCCTTACGTGGAACATTGTTACAGTCAGATGAAAAGTAACACATCATTTTTTGTTATGGATCAATGTCTACTTGTTTTATCTCAGCCACATTTTAGCTTCCTGCAGTTCCTTGGCCCTAAAACCGAAGTGGGAACACAAACATATTGAGTGCTATAAATTGCTTTTAATTTCGTGGGCTGTCCTTCTTTTGGAATGCCATGGGGTCCAGGTATATTGGTCAGATGTGACACGCATTCCTCTCAATCCCTGTTGCTTCAGGCCTGTACCAATATCGCAAATATAAATTTATTTCGAATTATGACACGTAACAACATTTTATCCTGCGCGGTCTAAGACATGAACTGTCTTCGCTCGTTTAGAAACTGAGATCGTGGGTTCGAATCCAGTCGAGGAATGGATGTCTGTGTTTGTGTTGTCCTGTGTTTATGTAGCGGCCTTGCGACGGGGCTGATCACTCCCTTAAGGCGTCCTACCGAATGTGAAAAATATTGCGGGACTGAATAAGAGGCCTGGACCCTGAATGGGCTGCAAGAGCCATTGAAGAAAAACAACAACTCTTTTATTTAGGTCTGCTATTCAAACTACTTCGCTTGATCCAGCTGATAATCAAAAAGGGGGGTTGCATGTTTCTGTAAAATGACATGTTTTCACGTTCACAACTTCACGCAGTGCCTAAGTGATATTTCAAATTATAAGAGCAGGCTGAAAATCGTCGTGGGTGACATCTCCGTGGAATATTAATTACCGACACGCTGAGGCAGAACTGTAATCCAAAACTGCGAAATTAACTTGTCTTCGGCGCTAAAGCGACACTATAACTAAACTAAAACCAAACTGATTAAGGATTTTAGACATATTGTAGGGGTGTCAATCAACGTAGAAATCCACATCAATATCGAAAACCGTTTATATAGCCATCAGATTATTTCAAGTGTACAGGATTCTAAAAGATTCAGTATTAAAACTTGTAGTCTATCAGGCCTGTTGCTTTGCTTTGGTTTGGAAAAATGACACAGTCATTGAAACAAATCTTCTGAAATGTTTGAAACGATGCAAAGGATAAGTTCTGGTTTCTATGTAAGTTTATGTTACCCAGAATATGTCTATTTATAGCTGAATCCAAACTGAGAGGATTATCGAAAGTTTATGTTACCCAGAATATGTCTATTTATAGCTGAATCCAAACTGAGAGGATTATCGAAAGTTTATGTTACCCAGAATATGTCTATTTATAGCTGAATCCAAACTGAGAGGATTATCGAAATTTGTTTCCCGAAAATTAATTAATTAATTAATGGATATCGACTAGCGCCACCAAAACAGTGGCAGAAGTATGGTACTTAATGGGGATCTGTTGCTTAAAGGGGGCACGCTGTAACGTAGTTCGTTAACGCACTATGGTACAAGCCGGAAGGTCGCAGGTTCGATTCCCGATGTCTCTGATTTTTCGATATACCTAATCCTTACAGCGGCACTATGTATACTCAGTCTCTAATAGAAATGAGTAACAGGAATCTTCCTGAGGGGTAAAGTACGGCCGGTGTGTAAGGCTGACAACCTCACCGTTATCTGTGAGCCGATTGTCTAGAGAAAATGTGGGAATCTTGACGTCTCACAAGCTTATGGGCCTCCGCGGCCTGTTACATGGATACCTTTACCTTTTTACCTATTGCTTATAATGCGTTAACACTAAGACAAATGTAGAGTCCAAGAATGGAAATAAGAGAAAGCAGACCGCGCAAAGTTCCGTCTCCCGCTCTTTGGGAGGCGAGTCGAGTGCTGGACTCACCGCAAAGAAATGCTCTAACAAGGTGTGACAAGTGACAGTGGGTTGCAGCATGTTCTGCTGGCGACCTAACATGACATAACATGCTGATCAAAGCACAATAGATCACTGTAGGTCGCCGTGCAAGGGCCGAGAAGGCCCACCCTTTATACATTCATTCAACAAGTTGATCAGGGCCTAACTAACTCTCCAAATATCTACTTCCATGGCACCGGGTTTTCATTGAAACGTTTACAGTTACTCGGAAAAGATATTTTCCTTTTTTATGGTACACTACGATCCGTTTTAGTATTCACGGAAAGAAACTATTGGAGTAATTCTGAACGCTCTTTTATAGCAAGATTCATTTAAATATAAACTTATTTTTACTACAGATGCAGGAATGAATGTCTGTAGTGGAAAAAAATTATCACTCAGACCAATAGAAATTTTTCGTGAAATGACATATGCAGTAAAGTCTTCAATGAATAATCTGTGCTCAACGTTCGATAAACATACGAAGCGAAAATCTGTATCTCTCTAGAAATTATTTAAAATTTTAAGCACATTTCTTACAAATGCTTGCAGAATGTTCAGCTCATTTTTATATAACATTCAAACACTGAAATTAATACATTTTAAAAATAGACAGGCCTATTTCGAAATTAATTATTCAGCATTTAAAACCTTAATTTCGTCTAAATAATATTTAAGAGAACAATTCTTATTTTAAGAAAAACACACTCTATCTCCATTTATTGGTTACTGTGTTCAGGAAAATAATTGTATCTTGTTTGGAAAGTCACACGAAAATCATATATACAAAAACTGAGTAAAATGCCGATATTTTTAATGTTAAAGAAAATGGTATGCATAGTCACGGCTACTCCGCAAAGGGTTAAACTGATGAAGTTCGTAACGTAACAGACAGGCCTGCATCATAAGCTAAAACTGTGTGTGTGTGTGTGTGTATGGAGGTCGCTGCAGCCTTGATCCGCAAGTACCCGCAATTTTATAACTAACCTCGAACCCAGTCTTCTGATTTAATTCAGTTTCTGACTTCCTAAAAATAACATTCTCCCTGTGTTCGAAGATTCATGAAAATAGGCCTAATTTCAATGTTAAGTTATTGTAATACACTTAGTTAATTTACTTCTGTGACACGTATTTGGCTGAAAATATGCTGTACATTAACAAACTAACGGACAGTTCTGTTGCTGAAACTTTGAATAGGCAGAGAGACATAAAGCGGCAAACATGTTCAGGGTTCAGGCATAATTAAACATACTTCCTTATCAATATTCTGACAATTTTTTTTGTCATATACGTACCTTTATAAAGAGTGTTAGAAAGCGAGAGGACTGTAAAATAATTCTCCACTGTAATTTGTAATAAAAGTAATTAGTAACAAGGATTCATTTAATATTTGGTGTGATTCTTAATGCATACATATGAATATTTTATTTTCTCTTTATTTTCAGTAAAATACTGTCATTCGTTTGGAAAGCGTTTTAATCATATTTTGTGTCAAGGTTTTAGTTAGATTCAAGGAGAGAATTACAGGCCAGTTTAATGATATTCTTAAAATCAAACATCTTTCCAGACTTCAAGTTCTAAATACTTTCAAACATTTTTTCTAATCTATTCGTCATGCAGAATTCTTCTTGTACAGTGTAAACCTATAGAACACAATGAGATTGAAAGTATATGCCACATAATTATCTCTCTTCGAGCAGAAAGCTCTTAAAAGAATAGTCATGAATAGACTTTCTGAACTGCTCACGTGCCAACGAAAAGAAAAGCCCAAGATTAATATTTTGCAAGAGGGACTTCCCCAATTCTAGAGGCTTGACGTATCAACGCCTGTGTGGATTACGCAGAACATACTTTCATGAAGAGAAAAGGCGGTGTATAGTATAGAGGAATCCATATAGTAGAACAATATTTTAAAAAATCCCTCAGCATGTTCAAATTCCATCAGCAACTAGGGGTTTACGCTACGTTTGCCTCTTCCTACAAATCTACAGGCTTAATTTTGTGTTGTTTTTTATGAGTAGAAAGCTGATCTTTCGCTCTGTGAGACGATAAATAATTGTGGCCGTTTGACGAGAAGGCGGTGATGAAAGAATTCGCTTCTAAGAGGCAGGGAGTAACAAGACAACAAATGAAGTTGCAGACGCGTAATGAGAAGCCAAATACTATTCAAGCGACCAAATCTAGGGGATAAAGTGGGCTGAACAAGTAGCACGCATGGCATATATGGGAAATATATGCATAATATCAGTAGTAAGTCTCACAGAAACGTATAACCTCCAATAAAAGAAAGTAGCTGGTAGGATAATATATTATATGTGTGGTGATGCTGCTTTGCCATATCGCAGAGTGGTACGATGGGTGAAAGTGTTCCGTGGAGGGAGGGATGCCATTCAGGACGATCCCATGTTGACAGCCACACAATTCAGCTTCTTGCTTTTTGCTGGGTGTCGATCGTCGATGAGCTGGGCGGGAGTTAGCTGCTGAGGTAGGCGTATGTCACAAAACCGTGCTCCACACAC